TATATATATATATATATATATTATAAGTAAACACTCAACACATAAATTGACAGAGAAAGTATTTGTTAACATTATATTGAAAAATTTGATTATATTTTCTAGAGCAGCGCATCGGCCTACGGCAGCTGGATTACTTCAAAAGGCGCAGTACTTTTTGCGGTTGGACTTGTTTTAGTACGAATCATTTTGTCTCCACAAACTAATCGCTCCAGGGTTCGTTTAAAAGCGTACCAAGACCACCTCTTCAAGCAGGTCTCGGTACGCTTATTTGGTCTGCTTTTGGTGCGCACTCGAGTACGATTGCTGCATTCTCACCTGCCCAAACGAACCGCACCAAGAGGAAAAACAAACTCTTGTGCAATTCAACCGAACTAAATAAGGCAGGTGTGAAAGCACCCTAACAAAACTGCGTATCTGCTTTGTTTCTTTTCAGATAATCAATTCAGACACGTGCAGTGAAATTAGCTCAGTTTTTGAGTATTATGATCAATAATAATGAGTTATTACTAATTATGAATATTCAGAATTAACTTGTAGTTAATTTAACAAAATAAATATAACAATGACTTCACCCTCTCGCCTGAGCAGACTCTAATTATTCATTTATTTAGAAAAGGAATTATAACTACTTGTGAAGTAGTAGAATAGTTTAGAAGTTTTAGTAAACTTAGGCCCCGTTTACACTAGTGCGTTTTAGTTTGAAAACGCATAAGTTTTGCTACGGTTACGCCAACCGTCCACACTACGCCGGAGTTCTCGAGCGCCAAAAACGGAGCGTTTTGAGCAACTAGCCACAGAGTTATGGGAGCAGAAAAATATCAATCTGTAAATGTGTTTTGTACTTTAAATGAGGAAACTAAGCATGCGTTATGGATGTGACAAAAAAAAGTCTGCGAGTTTACAGTATACAACACACTTTGTAGAAATGATGTGAATTAAACTGCTCAACCCAAAAGAAACAATGCTAATCAAAAGGATTAGAGTCGGCTCTCTACAAAACAAAAATGATTGGTTTTATTTTATTTAATATTTTCACATTTCTAAGGAAAAAATGTCGTTATGGATGTGACATCTCTCTGTTATGGATGTGACGCATGTGAAATTACCATTTGTGTGACTTTGGTAAATCAAATAGAATAGTTTGAAAACACTGACAGATGCATATGAGCAATTCCATGAAAATGTCAACCTTGCCATGAAAAGAAAAATGTTTTCACCAAAATAGCGAAACCGTTTCTACATTTTTTGCGCAGGCAAGTGTTTTACAGTAGTTTAAAAATACTCAAAAATGTCTCTGTCAATGTTTTCAAACTATTATATTTGATTTACCAAAGTCAAACAAATGGCAATTTCACATCCGTCACATCCATAACGAAAAAGTGTCACATCCATAACACAGCTTTTCCCTCAAAAATGTCAAAATAAAATAAAATCAATCAGTTTTGTTCTATAAAGAGCCAACTCTTATCCTTTTGTTGAGCATTATTTATTTTGGGTTGTGCAGTTTAATTCACAGAATTTCAAACAGGTGTGTTGTAAACTGCAAACTTGCATACTTATTTTTGTCACATCCATAACGCATG